CCAGGTCGTGTTTCAGGAGGCTTTCAACCTTCCGAGCAACAATAAAAAAAAGCAAAATCAGGATTTTAATCAGTTGTCAAGTTGTGATATCACTATAGAAATGTTGCTAGAACTGACATAGTCCCTGCCCCTCTTGAAAGGAGCCAAGTGTGAAGTGTGTTCTCACCAGCTTGAGCTGTTGGGGCACAATCTTCCTTTCCAAGGATTTCAGCAGCAGCAGCAGCTGATCCTCCATTAACTCTGCAAAAAATAAACTGAGTTTGGATCCAGCACCTCCCAGAAATGTGTTGGAGGTTACTGGTAGGGTGGGAAAGAGTGAGCAGGGTGGGAAAGAGTGAAGAGGAGGGGAAGGGTAATCATTTCTTGTAGGAAATGCCTGTTTGGTCAAAAGTTCTTAGGATGTTTTAATGGAAATGATTTGTGCAGCCTCACTGTGAGTGTGATATTGCTGTTACACACAGGATCATGGAATACTGAGTTGGAAGGGACACACAAGGAAATTGAAATCCAACTCCTGTCCCTGCCCAGGACATCCCAACAATCCTGGCCTGTGCCTGAGAGCATTTTCCAAATGTTCCCTGAGCTCTGTCAGTCTTGTGGTCCTGCCCATTCCCTGGGAGCCTGGGGTGCCCCACCACCCTCTGGGATAAGAACCTTTCCCTGATATCCAACGCAGCTCTCCCTCCCAGACACAGCACCATCCTTAGGTCCTGTCCATGTCAGCTGAGCAGAGATCAGAGCTACCCCTCAGGAGGAAGCTGTGACCACAATTTGAGGGAGCAGGGAGCCTTGAAGGTGTCCAGAAGGGGTTTCTGTCCTCTCCCCTGATGGGACTCAGATGTAGATTCCAGTTGAGGAGGAGCAAAAGTATGAGAAGAAGGAAGGAGGGAATGACAGACCTAGCAGTCATCCCTGCCTCGATTTCCCTCTTAAAGACCCAAAGCCTCACCATGCAGAGCATCAAGGATGTAGGTGATTCCTTCTGCCAGCAGAAGGACATGATCTCTTGGAGTCTGCTGTAAGGTGCTGAACAGGTCTTTTAAGTCTGGGCTCTCAGTTTTCAGCT